ACACCTCCCCCAGCACGCTTTTAGATTTGTAGAGTTGCAGCACATTCTTTTTTTTGAGTCAGAGTCTCACTCTGTATCTCAGACTGGAGTGCAGTGGCACGCTCACGGCCACCCCAGCATTGACCTGCTGGGCTCCAGCGATCCATTTGCCTCAGCCTTCCAAGTAGCCGGAACTACAGGCACGCGCTACCACGCCAGCTAATTTTTGATTTATTGTAGAGACAAGGTCTTGCCCAGTTGCCCAGGCGGTCTGGAACCCATAGGCTCAGGCAATCCACTCTCCTTGGCCTCGCAGAGAGCTGGGATTACAGGCTGAGCCACCGAGCCCAGCTTAGTTGCAGTACATTCTATGCACTTTCTATATGTCAGGCACTATTCTAGGACTTAACATGTATTTAATCCTCACAACAAGCAGGTTGTGAGTAAGTTGTTACTATCCTCAAGTTACTGATGAAGAAACTAAGGCACAAAGGTTATATGGATAGAAGACTGAATAAGTCTTCTGTTAGATTCAGATTCAGAGTCTCAGAATCTGACTCCTGAGTCTGTTGCTTAAACACTGCACTATTTGACTTCTCACAGTTACTGTGGTATGCGTGCAATTTTGTATACTTTTTCTAATTTAGTATTACATCATGGGTATTTTTAAATGCTATCCATAATCTTTATAACTGTCATTTTATAAGACTGTACAGAACACTAACAATGACCTCGCTATCCAATTTTCAGGAAAGTTACAAAGGTAGTAGAGAGAGTTCTCATATACCCTTTACTCAGCTTCTAATATTAACATTTTACATAACCATGGTATATTTATCAAAACTAAGAAATCAACACTGGTACAACTCTATTAAAAAAAACTACAGACTTTCTTTCATTTTCATTAGTTTTTCTACTAATATCCTTTTTCTGTTCCAGGATCCAATCCAGGATACCACGTTGCATTTAGGGGTCAGTGACATTTATGTTTGTGCTGTAGTTGATGTTCATCTTCCATATTATATCCAGCTAAAGGCAGTGGCACTAGTCTGGAACAAAAATTGGTATCTACTTTAAATTTGGTAAAGGAGATACCAATTTTTTGCGTGTGTGGACCTTATTTTTAAAATACACAATTCACATTAGCTATAAGCACAAGTTACTTAATTCCTCTATGCCTCAGTTTCCTTATGGCAATAATAGCAGCTACCTTTGAGTTAATAGTAATGATAGCTACTGTTTGAAGGTTTTTATTTTGTTTTTATTGTAGAGATGAGATCTCACCAAGTTGCCTAGGCTGGTCTCTAACCCCTGGACTTAGGCAATCCTCTTGCCTCTGCTTCCCAAAGTGCTGGGATTACAGGTGTGAACCACCACACCCAGCTGAAGGCTTTTATATGTCATGCTCTGTACTAATTTACTATTGTGTTCCTCACAATAATATCCCCAGAAAGGTGCAGTTGTCACCATTTTATAGTTAGAAAAAGTGAGGCTGTAAGAGGTTGAGTATCCAAGGTTATATAGCTAGTATAAAGCTAAGGTTTGAACCAAGACAGCTTGACTCTACTGCTTAAGCTTTTTTTTTTTTTGAGTTGAAGTCTCACTCTGTCGCCCAGGCTGAAGTGCAGTGTTACACTCATGGCCACCCCAGTGTCAACCTGCTGGGCTCCAGCAATTCTTTCACCTCAGCCTTTCAAGTAGCCAGAACTAGAGGCACATGCTACCACGCCTGGCTAATTTTTAGTTTATTGTAGAGACGAGGTCTTGCCAAGTTGCCTAGGTTGGTCTTGAACTTGTGGGCTTAGGCTGTCCACTCACCTTGGCCTCCCAAAGTGCTAGGATTACAGGCTGAGCCATAGAGCCTGGCCTAAGCTCTTAACTACTATCAATATTTGTCAACTTTATGTTTAGTACAGCATGTAATCAATGTTCAATTAATGGTAGCTATTACTGTTTTTCTAAATAAAATAGTTTAATGATATGCAGGACTCTTATTTTGTGATCTCTAAATATAAATGATGGACAATATTCTAAGCCCATGGTCTTGACTATTTTCCAAGTCTTATTTTACAAAATGAAATGACTATGAAAGCAGCACATATGTGTTACTCCCATATCATGTGTAGGAATCCTGCGAGGCACTAGAGGAGATGATATAATGGTTCAAGAAGGTAAACTAAAAGCAGTCTATGCAGTATATGATTAATTAACAAATGAATTTTCTGTGTGAAGTTCTGGGTAGAGATCAGAAAAGAGAGGGGTCTCTTTAGGCTGAGGGAAGCTTTACTGAGGAAATGGAATTTGGATGAGCCTTTTGGATTTGGACAGAGTCAGAGGAGAGAAAAGGGCAAACTTCTTATGTTGAAATTAATTTAATAGATTTCTGCTTCCAATAGTGTGTTTATCAAACTCATAGGTGTCATTTCTTCATTTTACATGTAGGGACATTGAAGCTCAATAAGGTTAAATAATTTTCTCAAGTTCACACAGTTAATAACTGATAGAGCCTGGATTTGGATCTACGTTTATTAGACCCCAAAGCCCATGTTCACCATTATATATGCTATATCCTTTGACTAGGAGTGAAATCTAAATTTTTTTTTTTTTTTTTTGGTTGGAGTCTCACTCTGTCGCCCAGACTGGAGTGCAGTGGCTGCTCCCAGCCACTGCAGCCTTGACCCACTGGGCTCCGGCAATCCTTCTGCCTCAGCCTTTCAAGTAGCTGGAACTACAGGCGCGCGCTACCACGCCTGGTTGATTTTTTAATTTATTGTAGAGTTGAGGGCTCACCAAGTTGCCCAGGTGGGTCTCGAACCCACGGGCTCAGGCAATCCACTCACCTCAGCCTCCCAAAGTCGCGGGATTACAGACTAAGCCACTGAGCCTGGCTGAAATCTAAATTTTAATGTAAATTGAGCAACGGGTGCTTTCTTTGATGTTTATCCATTGTGCTTACTCAAAATTGAATCTCTTCCATTAAGGAATCTCACTGTACGAAGACTGACATAACACTGTATTCTGTAATGGTACTTTTTAAGGTGAGAGGGAGCGGTCGATGAAGAACACACTTTTGAAAGACATTGATAAAGAGTAGTGTGTTCTTGGTACTGCTGTTTTGACACCTAATTAGAAGTCAATATTGCAAGCATAATGACCTGGCCAATTGCTGAACTGACTGCCCAAGTGACACAGAGTCCCCAGGTAGTAATGAAAGATAAGAGTATTATTTGCCTGCCCAGTGCCACAGAGTCACAATGTTTACATTAGCACGCAAATGCTGAAGTAGATTCTTCAGGGACTGTATCTAAGCTGCTTTTATCCTTGATGGCTAAGGTTGATATATCATAAAATTTGGTGTACAACCCAATCTTCCTAGCTACAAATGCATTTAGAGGAAAGTAGACAGGAAATAACTTTTCTTTCTTAAAAAACAAAAGAGATTTGTATTTAGAGGGGCACTTGAAAAGACATATAAAATATTTTTCCCTACACAGGCATTATATTAACTAGCTTCTTAAAAACCACAACCAAAATTGGGGTTTCTGTATGCTGGTTTTTGGATGAGCTATTTCTTCTTCATTTCTGTCTTTAATGAGCAGATAGAATAACATCTTATCTCAGGTGATTGGATTTTTTTCTGTGTATTATATCCATTTTTGTTTGTTTCTGGCCAGTGGTATAATATATTAACTAGCTTATATTTATCTGTGGGTGTTTCATATATATATATATATATATTTCTTAATGCTAAGAATCACAAATAGCTGTGTGGAAAACTTCAACCAGCCTGATTACAGTGGATGTGCAATTGGATTGAGGAATGTGTACTCAGAGCTTATGATCACTGGCCCAGTTGAGTCTGGGTGATACATGTGGCTTTCCAGGGATGCTGCTATTTACATCTGTTAATGGCCCTTCTTGATGGCCAGTTCCCCAATGAGGTAATATGCAGCAGCCTGGGGATGAGGGACCAAGGCTGCAGATGAGGCTGGGCTCCATTAGGCAGGACCAGGAATGCTCATCTGATAGGCTTTGTGTTTGGGGGCGAGTGATGGGGGTGGGGAGGGGTGCGAGAGACAGAAAGGAGGAAAAAAGAATGGCAAACATTACTTATCCAGGTATAGGAGAAATAGACAGGCAGACATGAAAAACTACAGCTGAAACTGGAGTATGAGTGACTAGAAAGGAAATCGAACCAGCGAATAAACAAGTAGAAGGATTGACTAGTTCTCATATAGAAGAAGATTAAAACAGGAAAGGGCTCTGAGGGTTTGGGGAGAGACATGTCACTTCTGCCTTTTAAGTCAATATCATTTGTTTGTGTGACTAGTCAAATGCTGCTGAACAGAAAGAGATTTGCATATATCATAGTGCAGCAAGAGACTAGTTCTTTGCATCTTTTTTTTTTTTTTTTGATGCTGGAAGAAAGCAGCAAGTGATGCTCATAAGGATGCAATATGAAGCATAGTAAATTCTTTCAGAATTGGGAGATTCCTGAAGCAAGCCAGTAAACAATTGTTTCTATTATTCTCATCAAATGCTAGAGGACAATAAAAGGACCTGGGCTCACAAAAAGTATACAGTTCATGAGAGTTGATCCCCTTTCTGCCTCTTCATGTATTGAAGGTTTCTTGGAATGAATCTCACAAAAGAAGGAAATAGTGTCTTAGTATACAGGGCAGTACAATGAGAATTCTGGATTTAATCAATTAAATGCTATGATATTCTTCCACATGTATCTTGAGTACATTTAGACTTTGGTTTTTCTATCTTCTTTGAGCAGGCCCAAAAAAGGAATGAGGCAGCTTCGAAATACATAGTAAACCAGCTGTTTTCACCATAACCTAGAGCAGTTTACTAAAATGTTTTTTCTAGTTTCCCACAGGGAGCTTGGCTCTGTAGCAGTGCATATTTTACATAAAGGCTGTGTCTGTGTATACTCTGATACCTTCAAGGAACCAGAAAAATATCTACATGTAAGAAACTTGTATTCATTTGTTTGTTTGCTTATGCCTTTACAGATTGGCATGGTAGCTTGGAAAATGACCCTTAAAAGTCCTGAGTATCCAGAAGGCCGAGATATCATTGTTATTGGCAATGACATCACATATCGAATTGGGTCCTTTGGGCCTCAGGAGGATTTGCTGTTTCTCAGAGCTTCTGAACTTGCCAGGGCAGATGGTATTCCACGCATCTATGTAGCCGCCAACAGTGGAGCAAGAATTGGACTGGCAGAAGAAATTCGTCATATGTTTCATGTGGCCTGGGTAGATCCTGAGGATCCCTACAAGGTACAGACTAAGAAAAGAAAATACTTCAAGGTGCTATATGGTTATGCACATGTGTACATGTGTAGAGAGGTGTGGAAAGGTAGAGGTTTAAGTTCAGAAGTCACCAATTATGATAAAAATTAAACACAAAATTATTTATGAAAATTCCTTAAGATACCACATTAGACACAAATTGTTTCTCAATATTTCACCTGGTTTTTCCTCCAGCTTAAATACAAATTGTTATTTCTTTGGTTGAATACTAGATGAAATAGTAGGTTTGTATTTAGTATGAGACATGCTAAGCCAAAAATGTATAGCTTTAAACTATTCCACTGTGGCTTCCAGGACTTATGGTTGATCATTATCAAAATTCCTTATATCCTCCACTTCTGCTCCAACGTACTTGCCCTACTTGAAACTTTTTTGCTTCTCTCTTCATTCTGCTTACTCTTTGCCTTTACAAAAACCTAGTTTAAATCCATCTCTTTCCATCTACTCACAGCTGAACATTGATGGAGAAAAACACATAGGTCTGTTGACTGATCTTACTTTTTTTTTTTTTTTTTTTTGAGTTGGAGTCTCTCACTCTGTCACCCAGGCTGGAGTTCAGTGGCATGCTCATAGCCACCGCAGCCTTGACCTGCTGGGCTCAGGTGATCCTTCTCCCTCAGCCTTCCAAGTAGCTGGAACTACAGGTATGCGCCACATGCCCAGCTAATTTTTTGATTTATTGTAGAGATGAGATCTCACCAAATTGCCCAGGCTGGTCTCAAACCCGTGGGCTCAGGTAATACTCTGATCTCGGCCTCCCAAAATGCTGGGATTATAGGCGTGAACCACCACTCCCAGCCTAATATTACTTTAAATTCAAGCTTACCCATCTCCTGCATGATGATTTCACATCTTTTCTCTCTTCAAACCTCCAGCACCTTTCCCCACCATCCTTACTCTTAGCTGATATCAAACCTTACTTCCCAATTCACTGAGAAAACAGAAATAATTAGAAGACAGAGTCCATGTATCTACGTCTGTGCTGATCTGTCCCTTTATTCTCTGCATTCTCTCCTGTACTTTGGATGAACAGTTCCTGCTCCTATCTAAAGCCAATCCCTTCTCTTGTATACTTGATCTTCTTTTTTGCCAACCTAAGGATGTAGATCATCTCTTCTCCCACTTTTTCTTGCATCATCACTTTCTCCCTCTCTACTGGATCTACTCTTTAGCATGCAAACACCCCTCTAGTTACTATCCCTGCTCCATTTTCTCCTTCACAGCAAAACTTCTTAGAAGAGTGGTTTTTTTCTTGCAGTCTTCACATGCTCTTTCCCTCCTGAACCCACTTCAAGTAAGCTTGTACCCTTACCTTTAACCACTGTCGCTACTTTTGTCAAAGTCACCAGTGACTCCATATTGCTAAATTCTATGGTGAATTCTCTGTCCTCATCTTAGTTATCTGATGATTCAGTAGCATTTGACGTAGTCGGTCACTCTTTCGTCCTTGAAATACTTTCTTCTGTTGGTTTCCAGAACCTCAGAGTCTTTTTTTCTTCCTACATTTTTGACTCCTCTTTTTCAGTTTCCTTTACTGCCTTTCACATCTTTAAATATAAGAGTGTTTCAGGGAATGATGGAAATATTTTATATTTTGATTGTAGTGATAGGTCACACAAGTATTTGTCACAACTCATCAAATCATAACACTTAAAACAGATGAATTTTATTGGATGTAAATTATACTTTAATAAAGTTTATTCAAAAAGTATGTGGACATTGATAGTGACCACTAAAAGATACAAGGTTTCTTTTTGGAGTTGTGAAAGTGTTCTGGAATTAGTGGTGATGGTTGCACAACATTTGAATATACTAAAATCCACTGAGTTGTACATTTCAAGATGGTAAATTTTATGTTATATGAGTTTTATGTCAATTTTTTTTTTTGAGTCGTAGTCTCACTCTGTCACCCAGGCTGGAGTGCAGTGGCATGATCATGGCTCGCTGCAGTCTTGACCTCCTGGGTCTGATGATCCTTCTGCCTCAGCCTCCCAAGTAGCTGGGACTACAGCAACATGCTACCACACACACTTTTGACTTTTTGTAGAGGCAGAGTCTCAAACTTTTGAGCTCTAGCAATCATTCTGCCTCAGCCTCCCAAAGTGCTGCACCCGGCCACCAGTGTTTTACATTACAAAATAATCTGTGAATGGAGACAGGTATCAGGACCACAGAGTCTGTAGCAGGACCAAGAAGTTCTGGACTCCCCAGTCTCAATCCCACCAGGACCTAGTGTCCTCTCTCCTGTTGGTTTGGTGAGATAGCCATTGTAGAAAGTGGGATAGAATGAAAAGTGTGTCAAGGGCTTGATACCTGAATCTCTTTTACTTTTTCACTCTCCTTGGTGACCTCATCCTGTCTTAAAGCTTGAAATTTCATGTACAAGCTGATTAACTTCCAAATTTATATCTTGCCCGTGAACATCACATTCATATATCTGACTCAACATCTTTACTTACGTCTGCCTAAATATCTGCCTAAATGTAGCTTCTAATCTTTCTTAAATTTGTTCTTCCCACAGTCTTCTCTATATCAACAGATGGCACTTCTATTGTTTCATTTGTTCAAGTAAAAGACTTGAAGGTATTCTTTCTTTCTTGCACACCCCACATCGACTCTGTCAGTAAGTCATGTTTATATCCCTTCAAAATATATCCAGAGTCTGATCATGTCTAACCACTTCCAATGCTACATGGTAATCCAACTCTTCTTACTGGCATATTGTAGTAGCCTCCTAATTGTCCCTCCTGCTCCTGGCCTTGCCCTCAGCCTCACTCAACAGAAAATGGAATGATCTTTTTAGAATATAAATCGGATTACAGCTCCAAACTTTTCTCTAATTAAAACCCTTTAATAGCTTCCTAACTCATTCAAGTAAAAGCCAAAGACCATATAGTTATTTTACACAGACTGGTTCTCCAACACCATTCTGCCCTCATTTCTGATTGTGGCCACCATTCCACATACTGGCTCTTCTTAGACCTGGTAGGCACACTCATTGCCTCCATGCATTTACACTTGTTCCTTCTACCTAGAATGCTTTCCCCCTAGATGTCCTCATGTTTCATTCCTCAGCTCCTCAGCTCTTTATGCAAATGACACTTTTTAGTAAGGCTTTCCCTGGCTATTTCTAAAAGTTTGACTTTCCTGTCTTTCTTATATTTTTTTTTTCTTAAACATTTTTTGCCATTAACATTATTCATTTTACTTATTTATTTTTTGTATTTTCTGACTCTCCCACTAGGAGGTAGGCTCCATAACGCCAGGAATTTTTGTCTGTTTTGTTCATTCCTGTTTTTCCAGTGTCCAGAATTGTACATTGCACATAATAGACACTCAATAAATGTGTGCTGACATACTAATAACACTCAGTGCTACAAGGCAATCTTGTCATAAGTCATGCAAGACCAATTACAGATTCATGTCTTTTCCATGTTGTGCTCACTGTGGGACATAAATTAATTGAGTTAAATGGTGGGCATAATTTCTCATAGTATTTAAAATGTTTTTCTCTGTTTGCTTATTTTTTTAAAGGCTGAGTAGACTAGTTCACTTAAGTTAAACAAGTGTTCTATGTGATTGTAGTTTGTAAGTGTGTATATGTATGTGTACACATACATCAATTCTGAAATGTTAGTACAATTTTTAAATGCAAATGGGAATTAGGAATTGTTTATTAGGCAAAAGGTATGAGTTCTGTGTTCATTGACTATTAGCACTGCATAGACTTGTGATTTTAATTTTAAATCTCCCAGGTTTGTGATTCTCTTAGTTATCCCTTACTCATATATATTTTGATGATACTATGGATTTGAGAGAGTGAAGAATAGTAATTCACACAGTTCTTTAATCTCGTATTGATATCTTTAATAGAAGTATCAGGAAAGATTAGAAATTGACCCTTAACCCTGTTGAAAATGAAATGAATGGAATATACTTGAAGTTGCAAGCTACAAGGTATTTTGTTTCAAGGACAGTCAGTGACTGAAAAATATGCACTTCTATCTTTCAAAGAAGGACTGTCAATGCTAGTTTTCTGTTAGACAGTAACTATAAGAAGTGATGTGGCAATTTAAAGCTAGCCGTGGAACAACCTTCATTATGCATGCTTTGCTGTATTTTCTGGTTGTGTGACAATGGCAAGTAATGAGTTAAAACTATTTGTGTTTCACAGGGATACAAGTATTTATACCTGACCCCTCAAGACTATAAGAGAGTCAGTGCTCTCAACTCTGTCCATTGTGAGCATGTGGAGGATGAAGGAGAATCCAGGTAGGTATCAGAATAATTTGGTTATAACTAAAGAAAGGAGAATATAGTAATTTTTTTCCTTCCTGTACTGCTGATCATAACCTTGAAGAGCATTGAGGATTACATAATCTAGATGTCTTAGGTTTATATCCTGGCACTACCACTTATTAACTAAAGGACCTTGTTATTTATTAAGGTTTGAAAATGTATAATACATATTCATTTTAGAAAAATTGATAGATGTAAAAATTATGAAGAAAAACTAAAAATTAGTCACAATCCTACCCTGAAGCCACAATTTTGAATTTATGTATAGTCTTGCTGTTTTCTTCTACATACATACCTTTTTTTCTATATCATCAGGATTATGATAGATACAAGTTATTTTTTATAATTTGTTATTTTCACTAAAAACTGTTTTTACAGAAGTGTCTTCTAGTCTTAAAATATTATTTGAGGATGTGATGTTTATTAATAGTTACATAGTGTTCCATCCTAATGAACATAGTATATTTGAACATTTAGAGTGTTTCTAATTTTTTACTGTTATATATCTGTGCTGAACATCCCTTTATATAAAGTTTTAGAAATTAAAAGTTTTGATTATTCCCTGTGGGTTAATTTCTGGAAGTGGAATTTGCTGATCAAAAAGACAATTTTTGAGAGTTTCAAAAAATAATTTTGAATTGTCCTCCCAAGATTTGCATTTTCATCAACAGTGTAAGATGGGACTTATTTCTCTTCTTTAATTTTTCTTTACTCTTGCCAGCATTGATTACTGTCATTTAATAAAGTAGGATAAAAACAGCAATTGTTACTTTAACTTGTATTTTTGATTACCAGTGAATTCAGAATTTCATGGTCTTTGTTCTATTTTTTTTGAACTGGAGTCTCAGTCTGTTGCCTAGGCTGGAGGGCAGTGACACGCTCACGGCCACCCCAGCATCAACCTGCTGGACCCCAGCAATTCTGCCTCAGCCTTCCAAGTAGCTGGAACTACAAGTGCGCACTACCGCGCCCGGCTAATTTTTTATTTTATTGTAGAAACGAGGTCCCGTCAGGTTGCCCAGGCTGGCCTCCAACCCGTGGGCTCAAGCAATCCACTCGCCTCAGCCTCCCAAGTTGCTGGGATTACAGACTGAGCCACCGAGCCTGGCCCTGTTCTGTCTTTTCTTGCGTGAGCTAATGCCACACTGTTGCAACTATTCTAGTGGGGCAAATTTTCTCACATTTTTAATTTTTCCCCAAGTCTTATTGTCTATTTTTGGTTTTTTATATGTAGGGTGACTATATTTTTAATTTCCAAAAACTTTCTATAATGATCTTTTTGCAAATTACATTAGGTTTATATATCAATTTAGGAAGTCTGACATCTTCATAATAGTAACTCTTCCTAGAAAGAAACATGGTGCATTTTTCCATTTATTTAAGTGTATTTTTTTTTAAGTTCGTCATCTTCTTCATATGGGTTATGCCAGATGTTCTCAAACTTTCTTCGTTCATGGTTCCCTTTGTTCCTCAGTAATTTTTTTTTCATAGCAACCCTAGGTTCAAAGCTATACCTAATATTTCTATTTATTAAGTAGTTAAACCCAAACAACCTTAAGTACTTATGTCCAAAGAAATGTAGCACTATTCCAATGTAAACCCATGAGCTACTATGAACTACCTAAAGCTAGTTCACATGAGTTCCAACAGATATCACACATCGTAGTGTTTTTCTAAAAAATTTAAAATATCTTGAATAGAGTTCACCATGTTACCTTAAACATAGTGGGTATGGTGGGATTCTGCCAATTTCTTTATGTTTATTTCTAAATATTTTGCATCTTTTTCTTGCTATTCTGAATGAGATTTTCCCCCATTATATATTTGTTAAACTCTTATTACTAGTAACCATGAAAGGTATTGATTTTGCATATTACTTTTGTTACAGAGAAAGTTTTACTGGACCCTTGAGCATTTGTGACTATATGGCATGTGTATCTTATAAAAATAACACATTACTCCCCACTCCTCACCGTTTATGTGGTTCATTAACCCTTTAAGGGAGATTAGCTTCATTTCTAACATAACTCTAGAATCTACAGACTAGACACAGAACAAAAGGAAGAATTAGGGATTTTTTGGTATTGGGAGAGGCTAAAAATAGAAAGGCAGCAGAATCTAGGAAGCAGAGATGCAAAGTCACAGACCAACAGCAAGGGCAAAGAAAATGAATTGATGGAGAGCTGGAAATAAAGAAGGGATCAGAGAAATATGGGGATTGGGGACTGTAGTTTAAGAGCCACTATGGGATACTTATTTATTATTTCAATTTATAAAATTATGCCCAGTGCCAAGCCTTCTGGGTACACATACAACAGTAAATAACATGTGCCCATCTCTACTTCCAACTTTTATTTTTCCTTTCTTTTATTACTTGCATTCCCCATCTTCCATTTCCCATTATCAGCTATCACTCCTAATCCCCTACCAGGAAGACAGATGAGTGACTCCCACTAGATCCACAGGATGCTTTCTGAACAACTTGGTCAGCATTTCACTTTTACGTACATTCCACCTGCCCCTCCAGAGTACTATATCCAATGACCCTCATGTATACACTTGATATTTATGAAGGAGCAGGAATGGGAGTTCCCTGTTCTGACCTTTTCCTTCATCTTTGTCTTGGATATGGAGAAGATTTTGACTTGAGAAACTAGGCTGAGCATTCTCACGACCCCTCTGTTTGGATTTTTTGTTCCTATGCAAAACTGTCTAAAATTGTTGATTTATTGCCTTTTGCTTATTATAGATATACATTGACCTTGCTTTTAAGAAACTTGTTCTAGAAAGTAAGAGAGGACACTTAAAATCTGAGACTCATCTGTGTGTCAAACCTTCTCCTTTTGCTTTCATTTAACTCTCATATCAACCCTTAGAGGTAGATATTATTACCTCTACTTTATAAAAGTTACTATTATCCCGAGTCACACTGCTGCATGTATCAGAGTAAGGATTTAAATCTATCTGTTTAATTCCAGATTTTGTTATTTCTATTATAGCACATTGCTTCCAGGTAAAATAGGTACTAAACTAAGAAGGAAGGGCATATGAATGAGGCGTATATAAGTAAGAGTGTAAATCCTTGGTGTTAAACATAGGCCATCAATGTGCTTTTAGCAGCCTTTTAACGGTAATTATTCTTTTAATGGATTTAGTTGTTACTGTGTTTAACCTTTATAATTTGGCATGACTATATCCACTAGGTACAAGATAACAGATATTATTGGGAAAGAAGAAGGACTTGGAGCAGAGAACCTTCGAGGTTCTGGAATGATTGCTGGAGAATCCTCACTGGCCTATGATGAGATCATCACCATCAGCCTGGTAAATCTTCCTAGAATGTGCAATTTTTGAAAAGCTGGTTGTGTGACTAGGTTTATTTTTGTCCGCATCACTGCTATTCAGACAAAAATAAGAGCATTTATTGAAAATTGTGTATCTATAATTTTATTTTAATCATGTATGATAACAATAAGATACAATAATATAAATAGCTGAATTCCTCAAATAAATCTAGTACTTCATTTTAGCCTTTAGTTTCTCTAAATATTCTACCAGACTTTTAACAGCTTAATTTCCTCTTCTGACTACTTTCCTTGTTACACTTCTGGTGGGATACCAAGCAAAAGTTTAGGAGAAGTAAGGGGTCTGTGATCCTTTGTGTAACACCTGAGTCATTAAATGAATTTTGAGTCTTTGCGTATTCTTTTCTTTGACCAGGAAATTGTTGTATTGTTATCAACCAAACAGACTTTTTTAAAAAAGCAATATTTATTTCTGCTAATGTGAATTTTACTTACCTGTACCTTAGTTCTTACAGCTGGGAGAGGACATAAATATGTGACATGTAGAATTTATTCTTTTTTTAGGTGACATGCCGGGCTATTGGGATTGGGGCTTACCTTGTCCGGCTAGGACAGAGAACCATCCAGGTTGAGAATTCTCACTTAATTCTAACAGGAGCTGGGGCCCTCAACAAAGTAAGTTTCCAGGGCTTGGGAATAGTATGTGAAGCTGGTTGAAGGTTATGGTGAATTCTAATTCAAAATCCTGATTGGAGGGAAGCCATTCATACATGCCTTCCTCAGTCTGTCTTGTCTCTTCTCCGTCTTTTCTGCCCATTGACTTGCTTGCCTTTTCATTCGTTTATTTCATTTAACAAACATTTCAAGTACTTACTGTGTGCCAGACAGTGTTCCAAGCCGTGTGTAGGTGTTAGTGAACAAACCATATAAAACCCCTGATCCAAGGAGCTTACATTTTCTGGTGTCTTTCTAGAAAAACTGAGAATTAATTGAATGTTTCTGTTCTGTCCCACCCACCCCCTTCCCTTTTTCACAGTCTATTAGTAAGGAATGTGAGGAGATCTGTTTGCATACATGGTGCTATCTCTGATTCTAGTTGTATTCATTCCCATTTTATGTCTACCTCATGAATTAGGTACTGGCCTGGGTGTTGAGGATATTGAATCTTAATGTTTTGAGAAATCTGTGAATACACCTTTCCAAGAGACACTTTTGGTGGTCTCTTGTACATAGAAGAAATACTTGGTAAATATTGAGTGGCAAGATGGGTGAGTGGGAAGCATGGATTGATTTCTGGGGAAAAGAGTATGACAGGGATTTATTTTCTCTTCCAAAGAAAGGGTTGTGCCTTTTTAATCCAGGTTCACAGGGGCTTTTCCAAAGGGGAAAAATGGATGGTGAAGTTACTGCTTTTAAGAGTGAAAACTACTAAGAATGCCTGAATATATAAAGAATGACTTCTTTGCAGGCAGAGGAAAATTATTGTCTTTCTAGGGCCAAAAATATATATGGGAGTAGTATGGGACTGACTGCCCTTGTACACTGATAATAACCTTTCAGCTCCTCAGCTTTCTTATATGTCAAAGGGAAAAAATCTATACCTTTAAATAATGTAGAGATCAATTGAGAAAACACAAGTAAGAGTACCTAGTTCAGCTGATGTGTCTGTAATCCCAGCTTCTCAGAAGGCTGAGGCAGGAGGATTACTTGAGTCCAGGAGAGGCCAGCCTGAGCAACATAGTGATACTTCATCTCTTTTTAAAAAAAAAAAAAAGACCTTGGTTCTTGACAAAACTTTCTGGACCTCATTAAAATTTCAATTCCCCTTTCCTGTCTCTTACATGGCTTGGTAATTGAGCTTATGGAGTTACTACACATACTAAACTGTATTGAATATTTTGTTTACTAGACTTGGAGGAACTTTTTATCAAGTCTTGACTTTCAATGGAAGGATAAGGATTAAATATTCTATCCCATCATTCCTATTTAGAAAAAGTTGATACTTTCATTGGTTCAATTATATTATGGGGATATCAGAAATTAGAAGAATCATTTGATGTGATTGGTCTACTCTCTGTTTTCATATAAGCTCTGTATTCCTCCCTAGGTTTGCTTTTCTCTCCAAGGAAAAGCAGCATATCGCTAACTACTGTCCTCCTCCCTTTTTGGAGAGTAGCCTAGAAATAAAGATTGTGAACTATCGCTACTGAAGATTATTATTGCAGCAGGAGAAGCTGCTGAGAGTCTTAAAATTTTTTAGTTGCTCTTTTGGATACCTTCTTAGAAGGAGATATTGATGAATGTTGAAGAGAATTTTAGGCATTAGCTATGAGGACAGAATTTTAAAAGATACCTATATCTCCATGTTGTTTCCCATACCTGGACAGAGAGCTAATTTCTGAAATGTGTCTTGTTACACTGCATTCTTCCCCCAATACTATATCTAAAGAATATTACAAAAAGCAAATGTTGGGGATTTTGTTGTTGCTATTTTTATTTGTTTATTTTTACTTGAAAACCTGCTAGTTGAATTTCATTTGTGGTATAATGAAAGCATTAGGAATTTTTAAAAAATCTAGTTGAATTTTCTGCTCAAATTCATTATTTTCACCTTCTTCCTAGCTTACAGGGCTGCTTGTTAAAGGAAAAGTCTAGCTACAGGGGAAAGACAAACAAAGCTATACTTTAACTTACCAAACAATGCTCACTTCCAGAAGGACATGATCGTTTTCAGCTGAAGGGAGTGATCAGTTATAGAGGTTACCTAATCTTGCTCTGCCTGCTTCACTATCTTCATGTCAGCACCTCTTAAGTACAGAGCCGTGCTGCTGAAGACACCTGGTTTCATGCAAATTCGTTAAGAATGTCCTATCAGCCCCTTTGCTTATCAGGTATGAAAAAGGAAACTATCCAGGATATACCATGCTCAGATAGATGGCTTCCTCTGACTCACTCCTTGTGCATGTTGTCTTTGTGTGTACTGGTGACTTTCTGCATCTCTCTTTGCTTTTCTTTCAGTTGGTTTCTCTCCGTCTTACACACTCTGGGTTGTGCAAGTCACTCTGAGTGCATGTTTCTTTCTTTGTGAGCGCTGATCTGTCTCTTTGTGTCTGTGTCTTGCTTATAGAGCCTTCTCTTTCTCTGTCTGTGTACCTCCCTGAGTGTCCATGTGTGAGAAAATCTTTGTATGTTTGAAACACTATAGAGCCTCCTTTCTTAAGCCTTGGTCATTTTGCTCATAGTGTGTACCTTTGTAAAGTGAAAATGTAGATGTTATATGCACGCTTATATATGGTCTCAGACTGTAAACATTTAACCCCTGCCTTTTTGAGTCTTCATCCTTTATGTTAAACATTGGGGCGAAGAATAAGAAGAGGGAGTGTACAGAGGTTGTAGGGGAAAAAAATCTTGTGTGTGCAAGTGCCGATCCCGTTGACCCCTTTGAAAATTGAAATAATGATAATGCGCGTCTCCTGACTGCATCAAAGTATCAGCACATCAAAAGCCAGGAGGCATGAAATGCAAATGATAAAGTGAAAGCAGATGGATTGTGCATGATCGCCTGATGCCCAATGAATTTTAAAAGGTGCTGGTTTGCAAGGGGTGGGGGTGACTGGGGGTGGGGGGACTGAAATAAACACGTTATCCCTGCAATTTTTTTTTGTTCTTGACGCTCACTCCTGACAATATTTTTTCACACGTGAGTGAACACCCACTCCATCTCTCTCTCTCTCTCCCCCCCTTTCTTCTCTCTCTTTCTCTCTCTTTCTCCTCTCCACCTCCCTCCCCCCAACCTCTTACACGTCTCAGGTCATGTCGCTGCAGCTCCGGTGGAAATAATAAGATATAAACCACGAGGTTGTTATTTGCATAGAAATAGCATGGAGCCCCAGGCAGCAAGGGAGAAGGACACAGGGATCATTTGTCTAAAATTTTAATGAAAACTTTTGCTGAGGCAGAGATTTTTTTAAAAACTTTGTTTCTCCCTGCTTTTCCCCTTCTCTCCCCACCCTCCTCCCCAAACCCCATCATTGATTTGACTTCACGTGGTTCAATTTGAAGAGAAAGGGTTGACACTCCACATATCATACTCCCATAATGCAGCAACATGTAAATTGTTTGTTCCTTTAATAGATAGGAAGCTGAAGAGACACACATTTTCAACTTAATACATTGCATGTGCACATCAGGCTTTTATGGCTATACTCCATCTCAGCATAACACATGATGTTGCTGCTGTTAGCCTGTTTTTAATTAGTTTACACTTTCCTACCTTTTGCCTCCCATGACTCTTACTTTTTAAAGGATTTCATTTTGTAGTCAACAATAGTAACCTGTACATAGAATATAAATTTTCTGGCAGCTTCCTGTTTTCTTTTTTACTTTCAGTGGTTTCCCTGTATACTTACACATTTTATTCATGGACACCCTCTTTTGCCACTGTCTTTTGTTCCAAAACCAGAAAGTGCTTTCCACATTTGTATTTTTATACCTTTCCCCTTGTGATCTCAGTATTTGTGTATTTTTTTTCCATTTCTGTCTTGCTTTTTTGCCTGCAATTATTTGTAAAATATTACCAAGTTGAGGAGAGATACAGTATCTGAATTTTCTTGAGTGTTGCAGAAGCAGATTTGACATTTCAAGTTTTTAAAGGCAATGGGCTGGTAATTAGAGGCAGCCCAAGTGACTTTATTTGAAATTCAAAATCAAGAATTTCTGTCTGGTTTCTTGTTATCTTCTGGAGGAGACTATTGGTATCACGGCCATATTTCACAACCAGGAAAGCTAAAACAGTAGGAGGGGATGTAACTTAGTTCCATTGACAGAAACTAGATCTGGGTCAGAACTTCCATGTCCCTAAGTTTCATTGAGGAAAGCTTAGTCCTCTCTGCTTATACCATATACCTAGGAAAAGAAGGTGGTCTTGACCTTTTCCTTTTTGGCCAAATGTTATAAGAATTATGACATAAATAAGATGTCACTCAAGGCAGTAGATCATAGGTTCCTAACTCCAGGAACTTTAGGCTATAAGTGGCAGATTCCTCAGTATTCCTCATTGAGTGGAAAGGGCAAACCTGATGAATGTGGCAAATTACTCTGCTTAAAGGGAGTCATGCTGGCCTGGCAAAAGCAGTAACTGTGCATTTGGAGAACTGGTAAGATAGTCCCTTAAGAAGCAAAGATGATTTGTAGAGTCATAAACTCTACCTTCTAAGTGAAGGTGCCTCTTGAATGTCTCCAGTAATGTTTATACTTACTTTCCCTCCCCCACCATTCTTCCACTTGGTTTCTGTTTGGTGTATTTAACGTAGCATTAGGTGGTAAATAGGCTAGAAGGTCCTAGTATTGCAAGGCAATAGTGATGTAGACTGGAGCCTACTAGCTCTTGTCTGTTGCCCCAGACTTGATGAGAGCCCACTCAGTAGACAGAGAAATCAGAATATGCTATTTATGGTTGTCCTCTGAACAGTGATTGCCTGTGCAGGTAAGGCTTATGCAGGTAAGACCTGCATTATGGGAGTATGATATGTGGAGTGTCAACCCTTTCTCTTCAAATTGAACCATGCGAAGTCACATCAATGATGGGGTTTTGGGGAGGATGAGAAGGGAAGGGGAAAAGCAGAGAGAAACAAAAATAATAGATTTGCCAGACAGTGGACAGTAATATGTGACTT